AGACCTGGAACAAGCAAACCTAATAGACATTTACAGAACTCTCCACCCCAAATCCATAGAATATACATTCTTCTCAGCACCACATCGCACCTACTCTAAAACTGACCACATAATTGGAAGCAAATCACTCCTCAGCAAATGCAAAAGAATGGAAATCATAAAAAACAGTCTCTCAGACCACAGTGCAATCAAGTTAGAACTCAGAATGCAGAAACTAACTCAAAACCGCACAGCTTCATGGAAACTGAAGAACTGGCTCTTGAATGTTGACTGGATAAAGGATGAAATGAAGGCAGAAATAAAGATGTTCTTTGAAACCAACGAGAATGAAGACACAACATCCAGAATCTCTGGAACACATTTAAAGCAGTCTCTAGAGGAAAATATATAGCAATAAGTGTCCACATGAGAAGCAAGGAGAGATCTAAAATTGATACCCTAGCATCAAAATTGAAAGAGCCAGAGGAGCAAGATCAACAAAACTCGAAACCTAGCAGAAGACAAGAAATAACTAAGATCAGAGCAGAACTGAAGGAGATAGAAACACAAAAAACCCTTCAAAAAATCAATAAATCCAGGAGCTGGTTTTTTGAAAAGATCAACAAAATAGACCACTAGCCAGATTAATAAAAAAGAAATGAGAAAATAACCAAATTGATGCAATAAAAAATGATAAAGGGGATATCACCACAGATTCCACAGAAATTCAAACCATCATCAGAGATTATTACAAACAACTCTATGCACATAAACTGGAAGAAATGGATAAATTCCTGGACACTTGCATCCTCCCAAGCCTAAACCAGGAAGAAGTTGAAACCCTGAAGAGACCAATAACGAGGTCTAAAGTTGAGGCAGCAATTAAGAGCCTACCACCCCAAAAAAGCCCAGGTCCAGATGGGTTCACAGCCGAATTCTACCAGACATAAAAAGAGGAGCTGGTACCATTTCTTCTGAAACTATTCCAAATAATCCAAAAAGAGAGAATCCTTCCTAAATCATTTTATGAGACCAACATCATCCTGATACCAAAACCCGGCAGAAACTCAACAAGAAAAGAAAACTTCAGGCCAATATCCATGATGAACATAGATGCAAAAATCTTCAATCAAATACTGGCAAGCTGACTGCAACAGCACATCAAAAAGCTTATCCACAATGATCAAGTAGGCTTCATCTTGGGGATGCAAGGCTGGTTCAACATATGCAAGTCTATAAACATAATTCACCACATAAACAGAACCAAAGACAAAAACCACATGATTATCTCAATTGATGCAGAGGTGGCCTTTGACAAAATTCAACAGTGCTTTATGCTAAAAACCCTCAATAAACTAGGTATTGATGGAACGTATCTCAAAATAATAAAAGCTATTTATGACAAACCAACAGCCAATATCATACTGAATGGGCAAAAACTGGAAGCATTCCCTTTGAAATCTGGCACTAGACAAGGATGCCCTCTCTCACCACTCCTATTCAATATAGTATTGGAACTTCTAGCCAGAGCAATCAGGCAAGAAAAAAGAAATAAAGGGTATTCAAATAGGAAAAGAGAAAGTCAAATTGTCTCTATTTGCAGACGACATGATTGTATATCTAGAAGACCCCACTGTCTCAGCCCGAAATCTCCTGAAACTGATAAGCAACTTCAGCAAAGTCTCAGGATACAAAATCAATGTGCAAAAATCGGAAGCATTCCTATACACCAATAACAGACTTAAAGAGAGCCAAATCAAGAACAAACTGCCATTCACAATTGCTACAAAGAGAATAAAATACCTAGGAATACAACTAACAAGGAACGTAAAGGACCTCTTCAAGGAGAACTACAAGCCACTGCTCAACAAAATAAGAGAGGACACAAACAGATGGAGAAACATTCCATGTTCATGGTTAGGAAGAATCAATATCGTGAAAATGGCCATACTGCCCAAAGTAATCTACAGATTCAATGCTATCCCCATCAACTTATCAATGACCTTCTTCACAGAACTGGAAAAAAAATACCTTAAACTTCATATGGAACCAAAAGAGAGCCCGCATAGCCAAATCAATTCTAAGCAAAAAGAACAAAGTGAGAGGCATCACACTGCCAGACTTCAAACTATACTACAAGGCTACAGTAATAAAAACAGCATGGTACTGGGACCAAAACAGAGATATAAACCAATGGAACCGAATGGAGGCCTCAGAGGCAACACAACATATCTACAACCATCCAATCTTTGACAAACTTGACAAAAACAAGCAATGGGGAAAGGAGTCCCTGTTTAATAAATGGTGTTGGGAAAACTGGCTAGCCATGTGCAGAAAGCAGAAACTGGACCCCTTCCTGACACCTTACACTAAAATGAACTCCAGATGGATTAAAGACTTAAACATAAGACCTAACACCATAAAAACCCTAGAAGAAAATCTAGGCAAAACCATTCAGGACATAGGCATAGGCAAGGACTTCATAACCAAAACACCAAAAGCATTGACAACAAAAGCCAAAACAGACAAATGGGACCTAATCAAACTCCACAGCTTCTGCACAGCAAAAGAAACAGTCATTAGAGTGAATCAGCAACCAACAGAATGGGAAAAAGTTTTTGCAGTCTACCCATCTAACAAAGGGCTAATATCCAGAATTTACAAAGAACTAAAACAGATTTAGAAGAAAAAAACAAACAAGCCCATTCAAAAGTGGGCAAAGGATATGAACAGACACTTTGCAAAAGAAGACATACATAAGGCCAACAAACATAAGAAAAAATGCTCATCATCACTGGCCATTAGAGAAATGCAAATCAAAACTACATTGAGATACCATCTCACGCCAGTTAGAATGGCAATCATTAAAAAATCTGGAGACAACAGATGCTGGAGAGGATGTACACTGTTGGTGGGAGTGTAAATTAGTTCAAGCATTGTGGAAGACAGTGTGACAATTCCTTAGGGACCTTGAAATAGAAATTCCATTTGACCCAGCAATCCCATTACTGGGTATATATCCAAAGGATTATAAATCATTCTACTATAAGGACACACACACACAAATGTTCATGGCAGCACTGTTTACAATAGCAAAGACCTGGAACCAACCCAAATGCCCATTGATGATAGACTAGACAGGGGAAATGTGGCACGTATACACCATGGAGTAGTATGCAGCCATCAAAAACGCTGAATTCCTGTCCTTTGTAGGAACATGGATGAACCTGGAAACCGTCATTCTCAGCAAACTGACGCAAGAGCAGAAAATCAAACACTGCATGTTCTCACTCATAGGTGGTTGTTGAACAATGAGAACACATGGACACAGGGAAGGAAGCATCACACACTGGGGTCTGTTGGAGGGGAATAGGGGAGGGACAGTGCAGGGTGGGGAGTTGGGGAGAGATAGCATGGGGAGAAACGCCAGATATAGGTGATGGGGAGGAAGGCAGCAAATCACACTGCCATGTGCGAATCTATGCAACAATCTTGCATGTTCTTCACATGTACCCCAAAACCTAAAACGCAATTAAAAAAATAAATAAATAAAAAATAATTTTAAAAAAAGGTGTCAGTTCTTCCCAGATTAATATGCAAGTTCAACACAATGTTTATCAAAATCCCAGCAAGATCTTTTGTATATACAGACAAGATGATTCCAGAATTTACCTGCGGATGCACTAAAATAGCAAAAAAAATTTTGACAAGAAGGATAAAGTGGGAGAGATCAGTCTATCTGATTTAAAAAACTTTAATATCTCTAGAGTAATCAAGACAGTAGTATTAGAGGAGATATAAACATATATATCAGTGGAACTGAGGCGAGAAGCAAGAAATAGACCACATAAATATGCTCCACTGATTTTGATAGGGAATTCAAGAGCAATTCAACGGAGAAAAAAGAGCCTTTCAACAAATGGTGCTGGAGCAATTGGATATCCATAGGCTAAAAAAAAAATGAATCTTAAACTTACATCTTATACAAAAATTAACTCACAAAAAAACCTGTGTGTATAACTATTTGTAATAGCCATAAACTGGAAATAATCTAGATGTCCTTGAATGAATGACTTATTAAGCAATCCATGGTACGTTCATGTCCCAGACTCAGCAATTATAATAGAATGAACTGCTGATATACAAAATATGGATGAATCTCCAGACAATTACTCTGAGTTAAAAAAAAAAAAACGAAAAGCCGATCCCAGAAGGTTACAGATGATTCCTTTATGTAACATTCTTTAAATAACAAAATCATATAACTTGATAACAGATTAATGATTGCCAGGAATTAAGGAGGGAAGCAGGTACTATAAGAGGGCAACATGAGGGCAGTGTTCTCTATCTTGACTACATCAGTGTCAATATCCTGACTGCAATATTGTTCTATGGTTTTGCAAGCTATTTTGGGGAACTGGGAGTTCATGGGATCTCTCTGTATTACTTCTCCCAAATGCAGGTAAGTCTACAGTTATCTCAAAATTTAAAAGTTTAATTAAAAATAAAGCTGATATTCTATGTTTAAAAAATAGAATGCTTAAAAAACAGAGAATTTAAGTGGCTGCAATTATTAATTTGCAAATGCTTCCCTCTCTCAGACTCGCATCGATTTTTTTACTGGTTATAGAAAAGAAAACTCATAGCATATATACTGAATCTATTCTAATAGAATAAACACAACAGATCTTTAGAGCCAACAGCTACTTTACTTTTTAGTGACCATCCACTTCAACTAGATAGATAGGTAAGGAGCTGGGGCCAGAGTGGCTATTATACTAGGAAGGCTGAGGTCAGAGTAGGTATCCAAATAAACATATCCTCTAAGCATTTAGAAATACAGGATTGGAGTAGTGCTAAAAAAAAAAAAAATCAGAGATGAAGACTTATAAATGATGGTAAAAGTCTTGGGAATGAACTTACTAAAAAGAAAAAATATTATTTATACTATGACAATATACCTAGGACTACAAAGTAGGTACATGATGGACAAAAATTCACATATTTCATTTCTTTTCTAGACTAAATCCGGCAACTTGCAAAAATATAAAGAAATATAGCACATCTTGGATAGCACCCAGAAATCAACCTTTTATAATCCAAGGGGATGTTATGGCAAACTCTTCAGAATGGGTCCAGTCTAAGCCCCACAGGCCATTTGAAAGTTTATCACCTCTCAAAGTGCCCAAGAAGAATAAACATTCTCAAATCTGGGCCATAAAGAATGAAGACATAAAACCTCTCAGCAGCAAATGGGAGACTGCTTCTTCAAGCTTTGAAATAAATGCAAATGTTCTAAAATATAAGAGTCTTCAAGCTGAAGAAACTAACCAGCAAAACTCTAAGCATACAACCCTCCATCTAACTAGAAGTAAGGATGAGCAAGCCAATAAGAATGATGGACAACCACCTTATATCTGAGGTTCCAAAGGGAGAGTTAATCTAGCTTTATGCTGCTCTGAGAACTGTGAATGAAAGATAACATATGCTTAAGTAGTAAAAAGAAAAAAGGAAAGCCCTCCCCTTCCCCTTTCCCTGTCCCTTCCCTACACATGCATATGCATAAACCACAAATTTTAGATATCCTATTTTCTGTAGTGGAGACATCTTTCAGAGACTTAAAAAGAAATCCAGGGAAAATATGGAAAAAATTTTAAACATATATTTATATTTATTTTTTAACAACATGGAAAAATATCTCTGAAGTTTTGATTTCTTCCAAAACTACTTATGCATTCAACACCAAAATTTGACACCTAAGGACTCAGGGCAGGGATGATATGTAATATGTCATTGATTTTAACCTCCCTACTAGACACTTTAATGAATCAGTCAACAAACATCATTTCCTGATTTTCTGTCATATCATTGATGTGCTAGGAACCATTTATCTCCCCTAGGAGATTATCAAATAATTGTACCGATAAAACATACATGAATAAAATGATTACAGAATAAGATAAAGTGTTAAGTTGTGCACTTTCAATGTTTAGAAGAAATACTGTATATTAAAAGTTGCTAGTTGCACAAAGCAGAAGTGTGGCACAAAATGCATAAACTGCACCGAAATGCATAGATTATGGTTTAAAATAGTCATTTTATTTCTCAAAATGTGGCAAAGGTGTAAAGAGGTACAGTTTCCTTTACAGTGAATGAGTTTACATCTCCAGCCATTTATTCATGTGGACACTGGAATAAGTCTAGCACCTCGGTCTGGGCAGTGAGCACTGGAAGGGATTTGTGAAGGACACACAGAGGAGCAGGTATGTCAGGCAGAAGAGTCAAGATGGATGTGGTAAGTAAGAAAACAGCATCAAGCAGCCTCGAGTCATGGGTCAACATTGGCATCCATTAGAAAATGAGGCTAAGCAGAAGGAGGGTCAGGTAGGTGAGGTATGCTAAAAATACTGGCCACAGCCTAATTACAGCTGGGTGGAACAATGAAGATCTGGGGTTGAGTAATCTACTCTCAGTATTTCTAGTAGCTAACGAGTTTTCAAGGAGAGCCCATTGCACTATTAAAAGAGTAACTAATTATGTTTTAAAGGACCATGACTGTTGATTTCCTCAGGAATCTTTAACATCTAATAGAAAATAACTATCTTCTGAACACATGAGCTGGTGCTTTGGAGGCAAGTCTCCTGGTTCTCAAAGAGTCCCCCAACTTTTGGTCTAAAATTCTCATCCTCAGTGATTACCCTGGGCAAGAGCAAAAGTCTACTTGCTTTGGGATGCCCTCTGCCCGGTGGGTGCTCAAGCTTGGATAGGTTAATGTTCTGGATCATAGCATCTATTGTAGCTGACTTCAGGATAGAGTAAGAGTTCTCAAAATTCAGTTGGACCTTATCCACATAGATCAGGACAAAAGCCTAAACTCTGGGAAAATATTTATTTTTAATTCAATGAAATGTCATTTGAATCTTCAGTTGTCTAAGAGTTTGAAATTGTAAACTCTGGAATTTATTGTCTTTGTGGATGACCAAAAAAAGGTGATAAGCCAGTTTCCTGGAAGATTTAGGGATGCAGAGATATCACCTAAACAATTTTGCCTTGATCCATAATTGCATTCCTTGTATTTGATACAAATATAAGATGCTTTACCCAAAGTAGGAGGATTGGCAGTCCACTTCCTCACTCTGCTACAATACTTTCAGTTTTCTGAGCATGCCACTCTCTCATAAAAGCCATTCATTCTCTTGGCCCAGTATCTCCTCCACCTGGCAGCTCCTATTTCTTTAAGATTCAACTCAACTGCTACCTTCTCTGACAAAACTTCAATGTATTTCCATAGAAATTTAAAACAACTGTGATTAATATGTTGACAGTTCTAATGGGAAAAGTGGACAACATAAAAGAACAGATGGCTTATATAAGCAGAGAAACCGGAACTAAGAAACAACAAAAAAAAATACTAGAAATCAAAAACACTGTAACAGAATGAATGATGGACTACTCATCAGGTTAGACAAAACTGAGGAAAGAATCAGTATGCTTGAAACAGTGTCAATAGAAACTAGCAAAACTTAATTGCAAAGAAAAAAAGAATGAAAAATCCAGAATATCCAAAAACTGCAGGACAATTTTAAAAGGGATGTAGCATGTGTAATGGGAATATCAGAAGTAAAAGAAAAAAGGAACATAAGAAACATTGAGGCAATAGTGACTGAGAATTTCCCAAAATTAATGACACCAAACCACAGATCCAGAAAGCTCACAGAATACCAGGAAGGATTAAATACCAAAAAAATCAAAGACCAAGAAAAAAATACTGAAAAAAGCCGCCAGAGGGGGGAAAAAAAAAAACCACCTTATGTATAGATAACGTGTATCCCTTATAAGGGATAAGAATTACATCAGACATCTCTTCAGAAACCATGCAAGAAAAAAAGAGAGTGGAGTGAAATATTTAAAGGGTTTAAAGAACCACTGTCTCAGCTCAGGGTGCTGTAACAAAAGACCATAAACTAGGCTGCCTAATGAAACAACAGAAATTTATCTCAGTTCTGAGGCTGGGAAGTCCAAGATCAAGATGCGAACAGATCCAGTGTCTGGTAAGGGCAGTCATCTTGGTTTTCAGGTGGCCCTCTTGTTGTATCCTCACATGGCAGGGAGAGATCATCTCATGTCTCTTTTTATGAATGCACTAATTCATTCATGAAGGCTTAACTTTCATAACCTATTACCACCCAAAGGTCCTATCTTCTAATTCTATTACACTAGTGGTTAGGATGGCAACATATGAAATTTGGGGGATGCAACATCAGATCATAACAACCATTGATTATAATTCCGTATCCAGTGAAATTGTCCTCCAAAAGTGAAAGAGAAATGGAAATTTTCAGAAAACCAAAATCGTGGGAATTTGTCACCTTTAGACCTGCTTTTTCTTTAACATTAAAACAAATTCTTTAGGGAGGAAGAAAAGTATATAGGTCAGAAATTCTGGCCTACGTAAAGAAAGGAAAAGCAATAGAAAAGGAATAAATGAAGGTAAAATAAAATATTTTATTTTTCTTAATTGACTTAACAGATAATGGTTTGTTCAAAACAATAATAATGTATTCAGAGCCTATTAATAAGTGAAATGAATAGCAGCAATGTTATATGGAACAAGAGAGAATTAGGAATACCCTGTTATAAAATACTTGTACTACCAAAGAAGTGAGTGGTATAGTGTCATTTGAAAGAGGATTAGATTCACTGTAAACATATCCTGTAAATTCAAGGGTAAAAAAGAAATATAACTGATATACTAACACAGAAAAAAACTGAATCATACAAAATATTCCATTAAAATGAAAGGAGGTAGAAAACAAGTGGAAGACAAAATAACAAAAAACAAAGGTAATGAATAGAAAACAGTAACAAATATGGTAGATATTAATTCAGCTATTTCAATAATCACATTAAAAGCCAATGGTCTAAATACATCAGTTATAAGACAGGAGACTTTTAGAATGGATAAAAAGATAGGATCCAATATGACTCGTATGTTGTAAAGAGATTTTTTTTTCTAACTTTTATTTTAGGTTCAGTGACATATGTGCAGATTTGTTACATGGGTAAATTGCATGTCATGTGCATTTGGTGTACAGATTATTTCATCACTTATGTAATAAGCACAGTACACAATAGGTAATTTTTTGATGCCCACCCTCCTCCCACCCTTCACTCTCAAGTAGGCTTACTATCTATTGTTCCCTTCCTTGTGTCCACATGTACTCAGTGTTTAGCTCCCATTTATAAGTGAGAACATGTGGCATTTGGTTATCTGTTCCTGCATTAATTTGCTTAGGATAATGGCCTCCAGGTCCACCCATGTTGCTGCAAAGGACACTATTTCATTCTTTTATATGGCTATATAGTATTCCATAGTATATATGTACCACATTTTCTTTTTTCAGTCCACCATTGATGGGCATCAAGGTTAATTCTATGTCTTTGCTACTGTGAATAGTGCTGCATTGAACATATACATGCATATGTCTTTATGGTAGAACAATTTATATTCCTCCAGGTATATACTGCATAATGGGATTGATAGGTCAAATGACAGTTACGTTTTAAGTTCTTTGATAAATCTTCAAACTGCTTTCCATAGTGACTGAACTAATGCATATTCCCACCAACAGTGTGTAAGCATTTCCTTTTCTCTTCAAACTCACTGTTTTTTTTTTTACTTTAACAATAGCCATTCTGACTATTGTGAGAGGGTACCTAATTGTGATTTTGATTTGCATTTATCTAATCATTAGTGATGTTGAGAATTTTTTCATATGCCTATTGGCCATGTGTATGTCTTCTTTTGAGAAGTGTCTGTTCGTGTCCTTTGACCTTTTTTATGGGTTTATTTTTTGCTTGTTTTTTATAGATTCTCAATATTAGATCTTTCTTGGATGCATAGTTCGCAAATATTTTCTTCCCTTCTATAGGCTGTTTACTCTGCTGAAAGTTTCTTTTGCTGTGCAGAAGCTCTTTAGTTTAATTAGGTCCCACTTGCAATTTTCGTTTTTGTTGCAGTTGCTTTTGTAGTTCAACATGAAATATTTGCTAGAGCCTAGGGAAAGTTTCTTTTGCTGTGCAGAAGCTCTTTAGTTTAATTAGGTCCCACTTGCAATTTTCGTTTTTGTTGCAGTTGCTTTTGTAGTCTTCAACATGAAATATTTGCTAGAGCCTATGTCCAAAATGGTATTTTCTGGGTTTTCTTCTATGGTTTTCATAGTTTAAGGTTTTACATTTAAGTCTTTAATCCATCTTGAGTTGATATTTTGTATATGATGAAAGGAAGGGGCCCAGTTGCGATCTTCTGCATATGACTAGCCATTTATTCCAGCACCATTGTTGGAATAGGGTGCTCTTTTTCCATTGCTTGTGATTGTCTGCTTTGTCAAAGATCAGATAGTTATAGGGTGCAACATTATTTCTGGGTTCTCTAACCTGTTCCGTTGGTCTGTAGGTATGTTTTCGTACCAGTATCTTGTTGTTTTGGTTACCATAGCCTTGCAGTATAGTTTGAAGTCAAGTAGTGTGATGCTTCCAGCTTTGTTCTTTTTGTTTAGCGTTGCTTTGGTAATTCAGGCTCTTTTTTAGATCCATATGAATTTTAGAATTGTTTTTTTCTAATTCTGTACAAAATGTTGTAGTTTGATAAGAACAGCGTTGAATCTGTACATTGTTTTGGGCAGTAAAGCCATTTTAACAATATTGATTCTTCCTATCCATGAGCATGGAATGTTTTTCAATTTATTTTGGTCATCTCTGATTTCTTTCAGCAGTGTTTTATAATTCTCATTGTAGACATCTTTCACCTCCCTGGTTAGCTGTATTCCTAGGTATTTTATTCTTTTTGTGGCTATTGTGAATGGGATTGAATTCCTGATTGGTTCTCAGCTTGGACATTATTGGTGCATAAGAATGCTAGTGATTTTTGTACATTGCTTTTGTATCCTGAAACTTTGCT